GCCATCGGATATTTAATTAAGTCGGCAGAGGCTGTGAAGATAGTCTCACTTGACAAGCACTTCCCGTCAAACTCCTCTTGACAAATTTCTTCCTACTCTTCCATCCACACTTTTGTGAGTATCAATGCCGCACTGGACCGGTGCCCATAATCTACAACTCTATTTCAAACTGTCACGACGCTGAGCTAAAAAAGAAAGGAGCTGCTGTTCTCAGTTCAGCGGCTGCCTGCTTAGTGCAACATCATGTTGTCCATCATCAAAAGCCTACTGTTATTCTGACGCTCATTACCAAGCTTGTAGTCGTTAGCGGACGTTTTGACAAACGGCTGTAACGATTTGTGCCGTCACGCGGCCACAACACATAAATATTAATTGCACGGCGTCGGGGTTTGCTGTTTAGCATATGAAACGGTTCCTCTGTAAGGCCAGTCAATTAGTAAGCTAGCTTCTTTCACCAGCCACCGAGTCTTTGATTGCAATCATTCAGCACTTACTCTTTATTTCCCCAATTTGTCTGTGATCTCTGGCACTTCATTTATTTAATCAGAGCCAAGATTGAAGCTATTAGCCACCTATTCCCGAGAGCTGACAAAGGGAGAAAGTCTACGAGGTGGGACCGGAGCCAAGCTGGAGGTAAAACGGAAACTTTCCTGAGCGGAAATGACAGGCGACCTTTTGGTTAAACAAAGATGAATGCCGCAAACTTTTGATTCAACACGGCAAGGCAGGTAAAAACACCAAGAGTGTGTGCACCTTAGGACAGCTCACACGACGTTTCAGGGAAGATTTATACCGATGGCACTGAACACACTGAAGGAAACTCTCTCCAAAGAAGTTAATAGAAACTGTCGCAACAGTCTAAAGCTCTTCTAGTATTTGGTTTTTCTACTTTAGACTGGATGCTTTCAAGCCAGACTAGGACCACACCGATCATCGGCCTGGCTGTTTATTGGGGACAACATTCGGCGTTTTACAGATTCTTGGTATAGTTATTTTTGATTTTTTATAAATACAGTCATGACTCGATAATCCGACACTAAATGTAAAACCTTCTTTTATGTCGGATAGCAAGGCTGTCGGATTGTCAAGACGGAGGTTGAGGAGGGCTTGATGCTGGAAGGCTCATTAGATGTTAGTATTTATTGTTTATAGTTGTTATAATAACTAGTGTATTGTTAGAACACTACGCATCGCTGGATTTCACGCCTAACTGACCAGTGCGCTTGTGCACGGACCTGTCGGTTGACATCAAAGGTAAGTAAATCTGTCGGATTGTTCAGTCAGATAATACGCCGTTATCCTTATTTGTGCCATAAAACGTCATGTCGGAGTCGGAATCCAAGGCTGTCGGTATGCTAAGGCTGTTTTGTTTGGGTTCCGTTTGTTTTTCCTAAAAACCTGTCGGATGGCAAGGTTTTCGGATTGTTATGGGTTGTATTATCGAGTTACAACTGTTCATTGCTTTGGCTTTAATGCAGCCACTTCTCTCTCTCTGTAGTAACTCTAGTCCCACCCACAGCACTATCTGATTGGTTACACGTCACGAGTAACAGTTAAAAGCTACTGATGAGCGCATTTGCCGAGCAAAGCTGCTCCGGTAAACTAGCGAAGCTGCCAGTCATCATCAGCCAGTGGGCATTCACAGTAAAAGTAGGCATAACAATATGCTAACTCCACCACAGGAGAGGCCTAATGTTCTCTGCAATTAGGTGGAAAAATATGAGAATATATCAGTATTGGCAAGCGACCAAAACAAGTCGTGAAATATCGGCACAGTCGCAGAAATCCGATGTCGTGCATCCCGACAGTTAGCGCCAATCCTTTTGACAGCTGTCAGCTAAAAATGAGAATTTATTTTTGTTTATTTCTTTCTGAAATTATGGACAAAGTGTTTTAAACAAGGACAAAAGCTGCTGACAAACCGAAACACAGTTTGCCTGAGTGAGTCTAAACTAAGACAGTTTGAAAGAAAAGGGTCTAAACATGCTTCTATGAACACTTGTTCCCCCTTTACAGAGTTGTGGAAGCCTCTTGGGGGTAAATAAGGAAAATGTAAAGAGGCTGTCAATCACTGGCTCGGTTTGATTAGTCGGCCGCAAAGGGAAAGCATTTATTTTCTCCGTGCCAAATTGTGGCAGAAATACATACACACCTGTCGGGTGGAAGCGGAGTTCTATACTGAGGCGTATATGAATGCAAATGCCGGAGCGTGAGTGACAGCGGAGCAGCGTACAGCCTGGTCAGTGTAATGCCGACTGAATAATGCAGGAGAGGAGCAGCTAATCACACTTCACTGTATTGTTTAAATCCTTTCAGCGTGAATAAAAACACTGGATATGCTGTGGATGTAGCAGGGAGAGCAGGAGTAGTTGTAATGAAAATGAAAGCAAATATGGAGCAGCCAAGGAAGGAGGCAGCAGCCAACGAGACGCAGCAACACAAATTGTTCTTCATGATTAGCCGTTATGAGACTGATCACTGGAGCCACGACGCTGTTTTCTTAATGTTTACATCCTCTGCTGCATCCTTCAGTCAGTTTCTTAGAATGCAACAACCTCTCTTAAAAAATGAAATAATAAAAAAAACATCTTGACATTCGCTCGTATGTGTACATCGATGGCAGTAGAAATGAGTGGCAGCAGCACACATGTGGCCACCAGGCAGCAAAACAGCTACACATTTTTTTAAAAACAATGCATGTATTGTGCATTAACTGTAGTTTCTTGCTGCATCACCATCCTCCTAATCCTAAAGATGTGGTCACTGTTTGCAAGCAAAGGGCATTGTGGGGGTTTGGCTGTAAAGGAGCGCCGTGATAGAGACTTCCATCAGTCTTACTGACCTCAGGCCAGCAAACACTTGTTAAATTAAGCTGAGATAAAGCAAGTTAATGTTCCTGGCGGCTGTGATCATGTTTAATCTTCCTGTATTTGCGGGACACAAAGAACTGGGCAGATTAGTTAAAGATTCCTGTCAGCAGCCTCATTCAGGACGTCCCTATGCTTTTACCTAATTCATGTGTGCTGAGCTCATTTCATTTCAGTCGAAGAGTCTGGACAACATTTTGCTATCATTCACAGTTCTCTCCTCTGGGCTGCTCTCTGTTTCATTGTGTGAATGTCAGAAGGGTCCAACTTGCCACCCTAAAAGCCTCTCGATATGTGTTAAACCGTACAAAACCAAACATGGACACACATCAACCTCAAATGTCTGGAAGTCAGGCTATAATATCTCTGTATTTTTATTTAATGCACTCCACTTGATGATGGCAGGGAGGTTAGTCCTGGCCAGAGCACCGGCAGCTCTCCTGTTGATAAAGCTACAGCTGCACCCTCAGACTAGGAAACATTCCTCCTGTCTGAACAAAACTGTTATTGGTGAGGTTAAGTACAAAACTAAATAATGCATCAAACAAAAACCATACATGTTCACTACCAATTGGCATAAACAGAGAAAAAAAAAAGCTGACGGGGAATGATGCTACCTGTGTTGTTGTAACGTTTCTACATCTTAGCTGTTAAAAGCCTCCTCTGGTGAAAATCAAGCTTTTTTCCTTGTTAGCAAATCCACAGTGTGGTTTTTTTTATACGTTGAACAACATCATAACAGTCTGCTGAATTGCCCTTGTGTAACAGAGTGGTTTTACAGTGTTTGAGGAGTCGTAGGTGAGCTGGTGTGCTCCAGCTGCAGTGACAGAGGAGGTGTGAATGGAGAGAGAGGGACGTCATATATCAGCACAGTGTGGCAGCAGTGTAGAGTTACATGTGTGTCATTTAAAGGCAGGAATGGATTATTTTCATTGTGAACATTGTTAAATCTAGACGACAACAACAAAACATTTTTAGAGGTTTAATTGATGTTCAAAGAGGAGCTTTACAGGAATGGTTGAACATTTTTACAACTTTGCTGTTTTTGCAGTGAGTCGTCTTAGTTTAGAGTAAAAATCGGAAACAGGGGCATTCGTTCTGTTTGGAGGTAAAACAGTGTCGACGACCTTTGTTTGCCAGACCGCTGACTCGCTGTCAGCCGAGGCTAGCTGCTACACAACCCCCTGTAAAGCTGTGAAATGCTGTTTTAACAACTAAGCCAAAACAAAGAAGATAGAATGTGTTGATTAGAGCGCTTCAGAGGAGCTGGTATTCATATTTAGTTTCCTTTGGACAGAGTCACTTCAGCACTTTCTAGTCTTTGTGTTGAGTTTAGCTAAATGGCTGCTGGTTGTAGTTATACCAGGTGTGTCAGAAATGTTTCAGGACTGGTCTCACAAAAGATATATTTCAAATCCAAACTACAAACTACAAGTTTTCCCCTTCCAAGTAATCCCCCTGGAGTCTAACACACCTCCCCAGTCTTCTGTGCCACGCCGTCATGCACTCCTGGAAGGATTCTTCTGGGATCCTCCGCATCTTGATGTCGTCCACGTCTTCATAATGGGTCCCCTTGATGACCCCCTTGAGCTTGGGGAAGAGGAAACAATCCCACAGAGCAGGTGGGCTGAGTAGGGAGGTTGCTCCAGCACGGAGATGTTCTTCTCAGCCAGGAACTGTGGGATGCTCAGGGCGTTGTGAGCAGGTTGTCATGGTGAAGCAGCCACCACTGGTCCTGCCACAACTCTGGCCTCTTCTCTGAACGAAGCAAACGCTGCAGGATCTGTTTGTAGACGTGCTGGTTGATCGTCTGAAGGGGAAAACTCGTAGTTGGTGGTTTGAAATATATCTTTTGTGACACACCTCGTATCTAAGAAACAGACATGGTGATAGGATTGATCCTTGAATGTAACTCTCCTCAAGAATGCAGATAAGCAAGTTTCCCTAAAATGTCTGGCTTAAAATTATTACAGAAAATCACAAAAAAACCCAAAAAATGTCCAGATGCAGCACAGTCCTCTATTTTAAACAGAAGATTTGATGCTGAAAACCTGATTGCAGTGTGTCGTCAGACTGCCAGCTCATTACCGCCTGACTCCTCTTTCTCTTGTCCCCCCTCCTCGCTGTCTCCAGGTGAGCGGGATCAATGCGTCGATGAGCAGGAGGCGTGAGCAGCGAGTCTTATTCATGGTGGTGATCATGGTGATCTGCTACCTTTTGTGCTGGCTGCCCTACGGCACCATGGCCCTGCTGGCCACCTTCGGACCGCCGGGCCTGGTCACGCCCGAGGCCAGCATCATCCCCTCGGTCCTGGCCAAAACCAGCACGGTCATCAACCCGGTCATCTACGTCTTCATGAATAAACAGGTGAGCGAGGGGGGGAGGGAGGACTGTGGCTGGGGTCAGTGCCTTTTGTCTTCGGCTGTCACCGAGTGGCAGGCGGAGGTCGTCCTGCCCACTGAGGCCAGTCATTGTTTTCAAGGTGGTTTGATATAATGGAAATGAGTCATTGTTTTGTATTCGTGTCAGGGGTTTTGGTTTTTTTCCCCCAGTGCCTTCTTGACACTGAATAATCTAAGTGATGTACCTGTGTGTGGACGGTGAATACGGAGGTGATTTTTCATGTCTGAATCCGGCTATTTGTTACAGATTTGAAGAAAAAACAGATTTGGTAAGTGCCTAGAGAACAATCAGCCAACTAATCGGCATTAGGAGGAGTCGCCGCCGCGGTCCGACTGCTTGGTCTTGTAATTTCAGCGTACCTCAGGTCACGCTGAACTAATCTAATATATTTTGTAACCGAAGCCTTTCATGTGATTCTAACTAATTCCCTCTACTTACTTACTGCTTGTCACACCAGAGGGGGTGTTTGCAATGTCATGAAGGCACCCATGGTCCGGGGTGCTAATAATTAAACTCACAGTGGGTCTCAATTATTCTTGGCCCCGTGCTCGCCGAAGACAAATCACTGTGGGTGTTATTATCTTTAATGGGGAGGCTCTTATTTGGGGGTTAGTGTTGTAAGTGGCCTGGGACTACTATCATGTTTTATTTGTGCTTCTGCTTTAATTAATTAAGTTGCCTGTGAGGAACTAAATTAAACCCATCAGCATGAGCCTGTGTCACGTGCCCCTCTTAGCGCTCTTCATTTCACGGTAGGATTATCACAAATCTGAATTGCTGAACACAAAACTGTGATTTTTCTTTTTTTTTTTCCCCCATCCCTTGATATGCAACGCTTAATATGCATAATATTCATATTTGAGAACTTTGCTTCAAATCAATCATCTGTTTCTCTATGACACAAAGAAAGAGAAGGAAAATATGTTTGTTCACTTTCTGGTGGCAGATAAGAAGATCAATGTGACTCTTAAATTTGTTCAACATACAACTCTGTCTCCATAAAGTGATCTTCCCGTAGACATAAACTGCATTCTCAATGACTTCTTGAAAGAAACAGTCATAGCAGGAGGCCACATTAGTTAGTTAGGACCTGACACAGGACCTTCAACCAGTTGGCGTCCAGTGTGGCACCGTAGTTTTTAGACTTCAGTTATATTCTCAGTCACTGTTTGGTTAAGTTTAGACACCAACACTGCATGGTAGCATTTAGGTAACTGTCATTGTTTGGGTTAAAATACACCCTTTCCCTACCTGTTTTAAACCCGAGTCTGATCCCATCTGACATGTTGTTATTTAGCTGAAAAAGACGTCCTGGTATCGCTGGGGAACTCACAGAAAAAGCACTGAAGTGTCCGTTATGGATGCCACTGGATGATAGAAACGCTGTCATGATTGATAGCGGCTTGATTTAATTCCATGTGCGTAACATTAAAGCAAACGCCTTTTCTGAATTCACTGTTTTACTGAAATGCAACAACATGCAGATCGATGAGCTTCAGAGACGCTGGTAGGTGGATCTTCAGACAAACCCAGGCGAGCTGTTTCCTCTTTGTGCTGAGCTAAGCTAACCTGCTTACATTTCATAGACATCTATTATGTCTCCTCGAAGCTAAGCATCTGCTAAAAAAGGCTCAAAATGATCCAATAATTAGCAAAATAATTGGGAAAATAATAATTGCACCCTTCGAGGCTAAAAACATCACCGTACAAGTGTTATTATCGAAGGTTTACTGAACTGTTCCTGACGTAACTTCATCCGATTTTGATTGACAGGAACCAAACACCGCTGCAGCTGTCAGTTATCAGCGGCGTGTGAATATATGCACTTTGCTCTGATGGAGTCATCCCAACTTTAAACTCGACTGCAAAAGGAAAAATGGAAAACAACCATTTCTTTCTCTTACTTTGCTAAAACTGTGCTTTCATCTAGAATCCTATTACTTATAATAAGAAGTTGGCTGAGAAACTGAGTTTTCAGGGCCTTTACATTTGTGGTCGGAGGAAAACACACATCTATACATCTGTCATAAGTTGAAGAGACAAAGTTTTTTACTGTCAGTGGAGGCAGCGCTTGTGCTTTTATGGCTGGAGGGCCAGAGAGACGGGAGACAGGATGAAAGCCGAGCGGCAGCCAGGGTTGGGACGTGAACTCCAACATCAGACGTGTTCCATCAGTCGCTCCTCGTGTTGTGCCTCTAGTGGCCAACATGTGGAGAGCCGCATCTGATTATCAACTAGCTGTACGTACACACTCCATTATTGATTACGGGGACACAAAGCCTTTGCATTCAAATAATTAATCACAGCAGACCTTGCGCCGGCCACGCAACTTGTTTGTGTTGCCTGATGAATTCCACAGGAACACAAGCACATTTTTGTTGAATCATTCAGGTGCAGCGTTTTTATTTCAGGCTCAGCCAAGATGGAGCTCGGCGCGTACTACAATGCCTGAAATGGATCCGAGATTCTCCTTGCTGAAAATTAGATTAGGCCATTTCCAGCAAAAAGTCTTTGGTGAATTTAAATCACATTTACTGACCCACATTGCCTAACCAGCAGGAATACTGATGCAATTTTGCCCCGAAAGGATTCGATTAGAGGTCTAGTACTGTTTAATGGATCATTCCAGTTACTTTTAACTTGGCCTCATTTGCTCGATTATTGTGGCTGATTGTGTTAAAATCATTTGTGCTCCTGTCAAGCTTTAAACGTGCAGTTCAGTTGCAGTGAATTCTGAAACAGCTGCGTCCTTTAAAAGTCCTTTAAACAACTGAAGTAAAAACAAGCATTGCAGTTTTACCTCCGGTCAAATACAATAAAATGGCTTTATAATTGTTTTTTTTTAAATAAATCGGTCATGGCTATGTTGTGCTGATATCATCTTAAAGACCGAAAGCAGTGAAATGACTCAAAACTACACGACCAGTCTCCTCCGAACCAAGCTCCATGCCGACAAAAGTGAAAAAATCTAAAAATATTTAGGTTTCTGTGATACGACTTGTCATACCTGCTCAGTCCGGTTAAAGAGTTTGAAGAAAAATAACTGAATATTTTCATTTTTGTGACCAAGTATTCTATTTTCAAAACTATTCTGTATGTTTTGTTTTGTTTTATAGTGACATGGAGCTACAAATGGATCAAAAATCACTGCTGCTTTATACGTTTCTTTGTTAATAAGTGCTTAAAGATGGGGTTTTTCATGACGGCTTCATTTCTTTTTTATCTATTTATCTACTTGTCCAACATTGCAGACCCTAAATCAACGGCACAACCACAGTATAAATTTAAGGCTTTTACCATCAAACATTCCTGAGATATTGTTGCTTAAACATTTAAATTGTGCAAAAAAAAAAAAGTGTTAAAAGTGGGTCGATGGGTGTCTCTTGATACATCAATGTCAAATTTCACAGATATAATTTTGAACATACATAGTTTATGAAAAGAAAAATTAAAGCAAATGTGAGAAGCAAAAGGTTAAAATAATCTTTCACAGGTCTTCAGTCAGTTAAATTACTAACAGCAATACATTCATCACACTAAATCGTTTATTTATGCACGACCTGTTCGGTGCATTTTCCCAAAAATGGGCCTCATTGACTTGCCTCAGACTAATCACTAATTAATAACGTAGGTACACACAGTGTGTGCAGCAGAGGGCAGGAGATCAATAGGGACCCACAGCTCATATTTGTCCCTGGATCCCTTTGCGGATTAATCCGACCCTCTTGTTTGCTCACTTTGCTTTCTGCCTTTGTGTTATATTCAGGTTTGTTTTGCTTTGGTACCGAGGCACTGAAACACCCGTCTCCACAAACATTCGCAGTCATTTCTGAATATTAAACCCAACACAAAGTCACTACGGCGGCTCCTACAATGACTCACCACCCTCTGAACATAAAGCCGCTAAATGCTTTTTGCTCATGTTTATACAAGAACTTTCCCAGGTGTGCGCGTGATAACAGCAGCTGCAGAAATCTGCAGATTTCACAAGCAGGTTGACACAAACGTTCCTCCCTGTCAACAGATAGTATTTACAGGACATCCTATGGGACGTGAAGGCAGCATCAGCATAAATAAGCACTACCTGCCAGCTACCTTATGCTGCAACATACACCACAACTTTTAAGCACAAATTGGATTCTGAACTCTACTGCAGGATGCCGTCGTGGGTTTGCGGTGGAGTTTTGCAGCACTGCCGGTGGAAAACAGGGGATGTGCATGAACCTGAAGACAGTCACAGAAGTTTGAAACGAATCCACTGGCTTGAAAATAAGAGGTTTGTTGAAAACTTCCGCTCAGAGATGATCATTCCTACCTGCTGCAAGAGCAGGTTAAGGCCACATTTACCCAGAGGTGTGCTCAGCTGTTCAGGTGTGACACGCCTCCCAGCTGCCACTCCACACTGAAGGAGACCAGCGTCGTTTGTTGGGAATTTATGGGCTTCCTAAATGAGATTCAAAGAGTTTGAAGCCTGTAATAAAATGATTAATAACGCAGATCCAAAGCAAAGCACTGCAGGAAACGTTTGTCCTTGGTTGACAGATGACAGCATCACTCTGACGCCTTATCAAGACGTTCACCAGATGTTGCTTTGATTTAGGATTTTGAACGCATAGTGGCCCAACGCTTCAGAGCTCTGCTTTACTTTGTTCGCTGTACTTCCTTATCAAGCCCCTCTCTCTCTCAAGGAACTGTACAAAATAATACATTTGGACTCGAGATTTAAGATGTTTTGTTCCTTTCTCAAACACAGTTCATCATGGTGAGAGGAAAAAAAAAAAAAACACAACACAAGATAACCACTGGGGCAGGCTGATAAAAACTTTTTCCCCAATGTAATCGTTATCATCTCATTCCGGTCTATTAAGTGAAGCGCAAAAATGCTGTGTAAGGCTTTAGAAAATGTTCCCTTCAGACTCGGTCAGAAGGATTTCATGTGCTATACACAGAGTTATATACAGTGC